GTGGGAGGGGTGCAGGGGGATTGTGTACCAGGGAGGGAGTCTTTCTTTTACTTTTAAATGGGGGGAGCAAACTGGGGGGGTGGGGGGAGAGGACTGGGTGGGTAGAGAAGTGCAGCAATGAATGAATGGAAATCCAAATTTTCTGTAAATGTTCATTAAAATTATTTTTAAAAAAGCATAGCAAACATGTAGATTTTAAGTAGCAGTCTGATAATTTTATTTATAATGATAAGTAATTTTTAATAAAAAGTATAAATTAAAAAATACTATATAACATGAGAGAGGTGAGAGAGCATTATGTTGAGTGAGCTAACTAAGTCTCATAAGGACAAATACTGCATAAGACCATTATTGTAAAAGTAGAAGAATAACTAGTAAGGTATGAATTAAAGTCTATGGGGGGAAGGGGAGGGAGCTGAGGTCTGAGAGTGGACGGGGGAGAAAGAAAGAGGGGGAGAGAGAGAGAGGAGAAAAGAAAAGAGAAAACAAAAGAAAGGAGGGAGGGAGGAAGGAAGGAGGGAAGGAAGGAAGGAAGGAAGGAAGGGAAAGGTATTTGCAATGATTAAATCACTGAGTATACAAAATTTTATCATTTGCTCTCTACCTCATTTCTGTCCCCAAGGCAGTATTTTCCAACTACCAGTCCTTCTATGTTTCTAACTTTTGCATTCCAGTCACCAATTATTATTAATAATTATTAATTTATTACTATGTTATTATATTGACACTTATTAGTATCATAATTATAGTAATTCTATGTATATAGTTATTATGAATTACTAATAATTGTTAATAATAGTTCCATTCACCACTTATTATTAATAATAATAAAAATATGCATATTAACTGCATTGGTGGAAATCCTCAAGGTCTTCACCTTTGGCTTTAGCTGTTGGTGCATATCTATATAATAGTTGTATAACATGTCTTCCTTTTATGTATACAGATAGTATCCTATTACAGTATTGTACTTCAGGCTAGATCTTAAAATATTCTTTTTGACTATGAATGTAACATAGCTCCTCTTCAATTTGTCATTCTTGGCATAATAGATCATATGATTGTCTGACTCAAAATTATCAATATCACTTCATCTCTGCCCACTATTTCCTAGGATGTCAATCTTTATGCATTCTATTTTGTTTTTGACAACTTCCAATTTTGTTAGATTCATACTTTGTACATTTCCATGTTCCAATTATTAAGGAATGCTTGCAGCTGTTTCTCCTCATTTTTTAAGTGTCTTCCAACCCGAGGGAATCTTCTTATAGCACTGTATCCAACTGTATCCCCCGTTATTTATAGAGTTTTTGAAGGTTTGTTATTTCAGAAGTGGATGGCCAGTCTGTCTTATACTGAAAGGCCTGCTTAAGCCTGTGTAGCACGGTTGACCTTGCTGGTATGAAATACCAGCGATAAAGCTTCCTGCATCACAGCAACACACGAGTCACCACATTACAGTAAATAGTCTGACAAGTGTCCTACCCATAAGAGCTAACTATAAAACAAACAAGCATAAAATATCACAAAACAAACATGACTGTTTTAGGAAATAGAAAATGAGCTGTCTGGGCTGCACAGGGTACTTGCCAATCCAGCACAAGATCAGAGCTGATGTGCCCAAGGAGATCCGTTTCTATGTGTCTGTGTGGTGACAGAGTCCTAACACATGTGCCAGGTTATAGGCAGCACCTCTTCTGACCTAAGGTGTGTTGAGGTGTTCCTACACTTCAGCCTGGGGCAGAGTCTCTGCTGGCCTCAAAGAAGTCTAGGCTCATCTGCCTGGTTAAAGATGGTTCCTTTGCCAGTCTAGGGGATAGATGTAGGCAGGGAGTCCAGTCAGATATGTCCAGTGTAAAGAGACAATCATTGCTAATCTGAAATGTCCAAGGGTGACCCACTCTGCAAAGGGCACACTCCTCTAAAAACAAACATGGACTGTGTAGAGTGGGTTGCCCTGAAAGAGGGAATGGTCCCAGTCAGAGGAAGTGGCTTCATTAATCTAGTGTGGCACTCAATCTGTGACAGCTTCTACTGGTATCAGAGGACCCTCAAATAGCCTGCTAGGCTAGCGAATGTGCATTTGCCAGTCTAAAGGGTGGGTGTTGGTGGATGCACAGTCAGATATGGCTTTTGTGAGGTGATAATCACTGCTGAACTGAAATCCCCAAGGATGGTGAGCTCAGTGAAGGGAACGCTGTGCCAAGGTAGTGGCCCAGTTAATCTGGGGGATGGCTGCAGGCTAGTCCTCTGGTTCCCGGAAGGAGACTGACTTTCAGACCACACAAACTTTTCTAGCACAAATACAAAATGGCGCATGGGTCTGGTATGCAGAGCCAAGACTGCCACCAGGCACAAAAACAAGTATCATATCTCCCATCAGCTAGCTGCTGGTGTGGGTACCACCTCAGATACTGGTTCCCTTAGCAAATAATCAGCTTTTCAAAAATGGAATGCTGTGTTGTTTATGGCACTATTGTCCATCTGTATTCTTATTGTTTTTTTTTCAGTTCTTCCTTTTTTTGTCAGCATTTCAGGATTATTTTCGTTTTCTGATGTCTTTGTTGAGTAAAGCTTGAACTGGCATCTGCCTTTCTGCCTTCTTATGTGGCCATCTCTTTCATAAGTGACTCTTAAGCCCTCTATCTTGAACACAGTATATGAGCCATTGTAAAATGAATGAAGACTAACATAGTACTTGGAACATGGATGAATCCCAATTTTTAAGTAGGTTCTTCTAATATTTCCATTAGTTTTTCCACCAGCACATCCAAAATATGAATAAAGCCAGAAATTCAATGTCATCATTTGTTGCACCACCATTCAAGTTCAGTGAACTTTACACTGGCCATTACATTATTTGAAAATCTCTCATATTTTTCATTAAAATATCACTGAGCTTGAGAAAAATATGCAACATAATGAACTTGAAGTTTTCTCTAGGTGTCTGATATCTTCCTAACATCTTTGAACCTGCCAAGTACTACTTTAAAATGGTTGAAAATAACCATGCTAAAGCCAATTTCTATTCATAAGATAACCTGCCCAAGTTTAATATAATCATTTATTATCTGCCCATGCTAAGTTATTATTTTAGAAATCAAAGCTAGCAAGGAAGTTATATCCCTACGTTTTGAAAGAGCAGCTTTCATGATTTCAGATAAAATATTCTTTTCTCTGAATCTAATATGCTCATGAAGAAGTGCCTCCAACCTTCTGCACTATCATGCACAATACACCAAGCCTTTGTGGAGAGACCTATGACATTCCCTACTAAGAAAAATGTACTTACTGGGAAGTGGAGGCTGTAAAATGGTGACAGAGGTGGCACTGAGAGCACAGCTACATGGGATAGACACTTTACATGTGTTCTGCCATTCATCTTGGACTAATACCAGGGCATGTTGTTCTAGGAGGGATACAACTACCTACTAGTTCTAGAAGAGTTACACCAAGTCTGACCCAGATACCTCAGGCCAGTCAGTGTACACTAGCTTCACCTTGCAGATATACCTCAGGGCTCCACTACACAAGGTGGGGGGGCACTTAAGGATCATATTGGGGTTCATCTGCAGTGGTTACTGTCTCTTCCACTTGAATAAGAATGTGTTAACTGGATGAGTTGTTGTTGTTATGTGCTATCAAGTCAGAGCAGAATCATAGTTGACCCAGGGATTGTCAGTCTGTAAATCAAAAGGGAAGAGACTGCCTATCTTTTTCTCTTGAACGAACTGGTGGATCCAAGCCACTTGACTTTGGGGTGGCAGTCCTTACTTACTAGGCCATCAGAGTTCCCTCACTGGATGGGTAGATACCTAGAAAAGACATCTTTTTCTGATTAAGGATGTCAGTGTGGTAGATTGTACTGATGGCAACTGTGTTATGAAAAAAGAAACCCTGGGGTCCTGGCCATGTACAAAGGCCATATCCTGACCCTTCTCATTACCTCTGGCAAATAGCACAGAAAGAATGTAAGAAAGCACTAAAGCCCCAGAGCTGAGCCTTCTAAAAAAGAAAACATTTAGTCATTCCATGGCCCATGGTTAACTAAGATCCAACTGCTTACCTAATACTCCAAGTTTGGCTGCAAATATTAGTGAAATACCAATAGGAAGGCCGATCACATAATATCCAATGGCATTAACAATGGCTCCAACTCTCTGATTTCCACTTCCTCGCAGAATTCCACCACAAGTGCACTGTAAGACAGATAACATCCCATCAGTATGAACAGTGATAATACCTGGCCAGTCTTTAATCATTATCAATGCTTTTAAAGGACTGTTATCTTCTGTTGTAGAAGTTAGGTGCCATTGAGTTGACTAAGACTCATAGCAACCCTATGAAATACAGATCTGAATGCTACCCTATCCTGTGCCACCCTCACCATCTCTGATATTCTCGAGTCCATTGTTACAGAAACTGGGTCAGTCTTTCTCATTGAGGGGCTTCCTCTCCTTCTCTGACCCTCCACCTTATGTTTCCTAGAGAATATAATCATGTTTCCTGGGATTCCCATTCTTAATGTTAGCCATAATTTGCTGTGATCCACACTGTCAAAAGCCTTTGCATAGTCAATAAAACACAAATAAACTTATTTTTTGTATTCTCCATTTACAGCCAAGTTCATCTAACATCAGCAGTGATATCCCTGGTGCCACTGTCTCTTTGAAATCCAGCTTGAATTTCTGGCAGTTCTCTGTCAATGTGCTGTCTAAGCCATTTTAAAATAATCTTCAATAAAATTTAGCTTGTGTCTTACATTAATGATATCATTTAATAATTTCCACTTTCTGTAAGATCATCTTTTTTGGGAACGAGAACAAATATGAATCTCTTTCAGCCAGGCAGCTGTCTTTCAGATTTCCTGGCACAGCCTAGTGAGCATGTTCAGGGCTACATTTGTTTGCTGAAATGTGTCAGTTGGTATCCCATCAATTCTTGGGGCTTTCTTTTTTTGCCAATGCCTTTAGTATAGCTTTAGCTTCTTCCTTCATTATCATTGGTTCTTGATCATATGGTACTTTCTAAAATGGTTCTGTCAGTCAATTCTTTTTGGTACAGTGTGTCACTTCCATCTTCTTTTGAAAAAGATCATTCAGGTTTTGCCTATAGAATTCTTGGGTATTACAACTCAAGGCTTGAATTTGTTTTGTTTTGTTTTGTTTTTCAGTTCTTTCAGGTTGAGAAATGCCAAGTGAGTTCTTCCCTTTTTTATTTTCTATCGCTCGCTATCTACACATTTCATGACAATACTTTGCTTTATATCCTTGAGCTGCCTTTTGAAAACTTCTGTTAATCTCTCTTACTTTGGAATTTCTTCCCTTTGCTTTTCTGGGCTCTGGTGCAATTTTCAGAGTCTCATCTGGCATATCCATTTTGGTTTTTCTTTTTCCCCTCTCTTTGCAATGAACTTTTTGCTTTCTTCATAGATTATATCCTTGATGTCAGGTCATTCCACAACTCACTTGGTCTTTGAGCATTTGTTTTCAATGCCTCAAACTTATTCTTGAGATGGTTTTTAAATGTAGGTGGGCTAAACTCAAGTTTATATTTTGGTTTCTGTGGATTTCTTTCTTTTCATTTTCTTCTGCTTCCATTTGAGCCTGATGCAATTGAGCACATGAACATTTGATAGTCTGTTCCATAGTCAGCTCCTGGCCCAGTTTTAACTGCTGATTTTGTTTCTCCAACAATTTTTTTCACGGATTTAGTCAACCTGACTCCATATAGTCCATTAGGTAAGGTCCATGTGAATATATGACTTTTTTATTTTTTAAAAAAGGTATTTGCAATGAGCAAATAATTTGAATAGCTGGACTTTATGAAGAAGCATGTAGTAATAGGAAGGGAGGAAGAATTGTCAAGAACCCGTGCTATGCAGATGACACAACCGTTTGCTGAAAGTGAGGAGGACTTAAAGTGTTGGCTGTAGAAGATCAAAGACTATAGCTTTCAATAAGGATTGTTGTCGTTGTTGTTACATGCCGTAGAGTTGCTTGCAACTCATAGTGACCCTATGTACAACAGCCCTAACTCTGCTCTGTCCTGTGCCAATTGCACTGTCTCTGATAGACCCGTCCTGATTACCCCAGTCACTGAATCAATCCACCTCATAGAGGGCCTTCCCTTCCTGCGCTGCCCCTCCACACTACCAAGCATGATGTTCCTCTACAATGACTAGTCCCTTCTTACAACATGTCCGAAGTATGTTAGAGAAAGCCTCAGAATCCTTGCCTCCACGGAGCCACCTGGTTTAACCCATTCCAGGATGAATCTGTTTGTTTTCCTAGCAGTCCATGGCACCCTCAATACTCTTCTCCAGCACCACAGCTCAAAGGCATCAATTCTCCTTCTCTGCTCCCTAGTCATTGTCCAATTCTCTGATGCATAACAAGTGATTGCAAAGACCATGGCCTGTATCAGATGCACCTTGGTCTCCAGAGAGACACCATTGTCTTCAGTACTTTTGAGAGGCCTCTAACAGCAGACTTTCCCGTCGCAATATGTCTTTTAATTTCCTGGATACTGGTGCCAAGAGTGTTGACTGTGAAGCCAAGCAAACTAAAGCTGTGAACAATCTCAATCTCTTCACCATCTATACTGATGCTGCCAATTGGTCCAGTAGTGAGAATCTTTGTCTTCTTGACATTGAGCCTCAATCCATATTGAAAGCTGCAGTCCTTGACCTTCTGCAGCAAAAGCTTCAGGTCCTCCTTAGTTTCAGCAAGCAGGGTTGTGTCATTGTGTCATCTGCATAAGGCATATTATTGATAGATCTTCCACCAATCTTGACCCCAAATTTCTCCTCATAGAGCCCAGCCTCCAGGATAATCTGTTCTGCATACAGGTTGAAAAGGTATGGAAACAGGACACACCCCTGGCATACACCCTTCCCAATTTACATCTAAAAATTAAAAAATTAAGATTCCTTACCACTAGGCCAAACAGGCAACATCATGATAGGAAGAGAAAAGACTGAAATTGTCAACAATTAATCTTACTTGGATCTACAAGCAATATCCTTTGTACCAACAGTCAAGACATCAGATATGTGTTACATTGAGAAAATCTGCTTTCAAGAACTTCTACAAAGTGCTTAAGAGCAATGATATCAGTTTAATGACTAAGGAGTACCAAATTCAAGCTATAATCTTTTCAATTACTGTCTATGTATCTGAAAGTGGGAGAATGAATAAGGATTCTAGAAGAATAATTGATGCTTTTGAGTTGCAGTGTTGGAGAAGAATACTGAATATCCCAAAGAGAAGGATGGTGAAACATCCATTGTGCAGGTAGTCAAGAGAAACCAGAACATCATGTTTAGAAAGGCAGAGAGTCAGCGAAGGAAAAGAAGACCCTCGACAATATGGACTGAGACTGACTATAATAGTGGGCTCAAGCACATCAGAAATGGTCAGCATGTCATAGGATAGGACAGAGTTCAGATCCGTTGTTCATAGGAGCCCTATAAGTTGTAGTGACTTCAGGAACACCTAACAAAAACAACAACATACCATCTAGACCCTCTTCTTCATTTGAATTCACTCTAATTAGAAGAAATACGTATATCGTTAAACGCATTGAAGGTAATACTACACAATACTTACTGCAAGACCTTCAAAGAGGTGGGAAACAGCATAAATTGGAACAACTTGAACCGCCAGAGCAATGATTTCTCTATTGGAAAAACCAAGCACATGGAGATTAGTAGAAGACAAATATGAAAAGGAGAAACAGCTTCCAGTTTAGACCCAGCTTCTGCTCCGGCTCAGCAAGGTCTGGCTTCTGTGCTTGATATGCCTCATGAGTTTCAACACACATCCTAATCAGATACGAATCTACTGTCTTGATTTGCAGATGAAATCAACTATATATTGTATGTCTGAAAACATATGTAGCTCTTTGCAGGCATTTAATTCCAGTGATTTGGCTCCTTTAAGTCTCCTCCTCAAAGAAATTGTGGGTTCCTTTACTATCCTTTCAACACAGATTCCACAGACCAAGTCTGTATCAGTCTCTCAAGATACAACAGTAAAAGCTGAATTTCTCTCTACGGAACCAAAGTTGGCAAGCTATAAAAGGGCCAGAGTTCTATTTAACAGAATGAATTTCCTGGAAAGGGGCCTTAACTACTATAGGCAGAGTCTTGAATTTTAATGTTGCTAGGATGCAAGTCATCACATTTTTCCTCCAAGAGGCTTTCTGACAAGTTCAAACTGCCATCCTTTATGTTTGTAGAGTATCATTTTATGGTTCACATCATTCAGGATTCTAAATGACTAGTCACAATTAAACACAGGACACTGCCTGCTATTTGTTGAATGGAGAAATAAGAAATCGATTTGAAGTTTTAGGGTTTCATGGGACATTCCAGCTAATTGGCCTAATAATGTGCTTCTATTCTATGAACTAATTTTTGCATAGTGCCTACCATTTTACAAGTTTGCAAATGATCATCAAAGCACACTTAGTCTTTATTCACCTGAAACAGCAGAAAAAGTAAGTGCATCAGGAATAGGAAGAGAATCTAAAATGTGACCATGGGATATTTTCATGGACTACAGAAATAAATCAATTTGTCTTGGAGGAAGTGAAAAGTAGAGTGCTTCTTAAAAGCAAAGATAGTAGAACTACTAATCACTATTGGATATGCCCACCATTACCCTGTCTTTTCACGTCTCCACCAGATAATTCCCATTTCCTTTACCCCCTCCATCCACCCACCAAATTGTGCGACGCTGTGATATCCCCCCTACCCATCTCACCCCTTTATTCCCAACTTGGACTACCATCCACATAGAAGACCATAATTGTAAAAATAGAAGGATAACTAGCAATGTGTTTTTTAAAAAATCACGTGGAAAAGCTGACTGAGTAAAGCCTGCTTTTGGCACCTTTCCCAGCCCAGTTCCACCTTCATCCCCAGGGAACATTTTTTTAATAGTTTCTGTATTTATTTAATATTTAATGAAAACAGAAGCAAATGCAAATACATACTATTCTCTATTACTTAACATTCTCCAAGTGATGGTTTATACTTCTTTTATTTAACAATTCTGGAAATCTATCTGTATCGCTATACAAAGAACTTCCCCATTCTTTAAATAGTCATTTTACTGTGTGTAGATGGACACATGGGATATTTTTTACCATAATAGATATGTTGCATGAATTATCCTGTATAAACTCCATTTGTTATACATACTTGGTTAATAATAGAAGAAAATGTTCCAAACAGGATCAAAGAATAAATATTTTCATTATTTTTATAAATTGTGTGGAACAGTTTGCCGCTAGAGAACTCTTAAAATTACTGAGGATCAATGATGTTAGTTTGAGGACTAAGGAGCACCTGATTCAGGTCATGGTCTTTTCAAACACTTGCTATGTTACCAAGAACAGAACAATGAATAAGAATGACAGAAAAAGAATTGATGCTTTTGAACCATGGTGTTGGAGAAAAGTACTGAATATTTCATGGACTGACAAAAGAACAAACAGATACGTTTTGGAGAAAGTGCAGTCAGAGTGTCCTTGAAGGCAAAGATGGTGAAGCTTTGTCTCACATACTTTGGGCATGTTGCAAGGAAAGGTGGAGGGTTAGCAAAAGAAATAAATGTTACTCTCAACTAGATGGTTTGATATAGTGACTGAAACAATGGGTTCATATATGTTGGAGATGGTGAGGATAGCACAGAATAGGATAGGGTTCAGACTTGTTGTTCGTGGGATTGCTATTAGTCATACTCGACTTGATGGGACCTAACATAATCCCATGGGGAAAGAAATAATGGAAAATGTAATCAGTGGTATCAGCGATGTCAAAAGGGGGCCCTGTAAATACAGTGTGGGTCACAGTGTGTTTCACTTGCTAACCACAAGGCCATGCCCTCCAATGGTTTTCATCCACCATAGGTCCCACAGGAATCAGATGGGCAGTCTTCTCCTGGCAAGACTTACAGCCTCAAAAACAGGATGGAGAGTCACAGGCTCAGAATTAACTTCATAGTAGTGAGTTTGGGATTTGTATAAATCCGTTCCTACTGAGTTTATTTAATAGTCTCTTCCCCAGTAACATTGATTGAGTTTCTGATCTTGCAAATAACTCACACACCCTACTTAGTCGCACAACCAGGAAGGGCCAGTATGAAAACATCTGTCAGACTAGACTGATCCATTATCACTCACTCACTGCCTTCAAGTCAGAGCCAGCTCTCTGCTGCCTCTCCTTTGGGTTTCTGAGGAGGCAAATCACACAGGAGCAGATTGCTTATATTTCTCCTTTGAAGCTTCTGAGAGACTCAAACTGCCAGAAAGGTGCAGCTTTTTAGTTAGCAGCTTTCATATTTCAAGAAAACTTCTGTTGGATTTGTTATGGAAATGGCAATACTCACCTGTCAGTAGTGAAAATATATCCTACAAGATCCTTACTGCTTGACAACAGGATGCAAAAGATAATAGCAAAGAGTTCTGGAAACAAAACAGAAGAAGAAACAGCAAACTGAGAAAAAATTTTCTGGAAACCTGAGTGCAGCAACAACATGGTGAAGAACTGAAGAAATGAGAGTGGCCACCTGTGATCAGCATGGCCACAGCAGATTTCTTTGCCTGCTTAATGTCTCCAGCCCCCAGAGCATTTCCAACCCGGACACTGGCAGCCACGCTGAAACCTGTAGGTATCTATAAGGAAGAGAAATCGCCATCAATGAGAGAGTGAGGCCAGACAAGTTATGTGCCTCTCTGCTTTCACTTCTGTGTCTAAATAGTTGCTTTCCTGAAAGAAAAGGAAACAGGGCAATCATGCTTCATACCATAATGACTATTATGTATTAACTTGTGCCTTCCCAAATATTGAAGGGAACTCTGGTGGCTTAGTGGTAGGGAGTTGCACTACTAACCCAAAGGCACAGGGTTAGAATCCACTAGCTGCTCCAAGGGAGAAAGATGGGTTGTCTCCTCCCATGTAATTTACTGCCTCTGAATAGCTGCTTGAGGGTCAGCTATGAGTCAATTTTTACTTGACAGCACACAACAACAGCAACGAGTAGATTTTGAAATCTTAACTCCATACCTGTCAATGTAATCCTGTTTGAAAATGGGATTTTCTTGGCTGTGTCAATTAGATCTTGCCTGAGTAAAGTGGATTCTAAATTTAAACACTTCTGGGTCATGAAAAGAACAGATTAGACACAGAGACATACACATACAAGAAAAGACAGGATGTGTGAGAGTTTTCTACAGCCAAGAAATGCCCAGGACTACTGATAAGATTTTGGGCCAAGACTCTAATTTTAACTTATACTCTCTAGAACTGTGAGGAAATCAATATCAGTTCTTTAAAACCATTTATTTGTTATTTGTTATGCAGCATCTTTAGAAAACGAAAATGCTGGTAAAGCTTGTTTCATTAAAAATTCTAAGACTAAAATGACTAATGTGCCTACCTGGGGGCCCCAGGCTCTGAAGGTAATTCCTGATTGGAAACCACAGAGCAGGGAGGGTCCTGCATAGTCCACCCTTTCTTGGGTGGGATGGGCTGCTACCTCAAATCCAATCTAGTTTCTTTTGTCTCAGAAAGACCATTTAAAAATCAAGTTTATAAATCAGAACCCAAAAGTGATGAACAATTTTTTTCCTAACACTGATTAAAAATCTGATAGCAATGTTGCCAGAGAACTGAGAGAATTTAGGATGATGCCAAAGAACATGCTGCGGAATGTGTTTAAGAAAAGCGATCCTGGCAATCCGGAGTAGTCAACATGGCGGCAGCAGTAAGACGCTTAAATAGAGTTTTGCTACAACATTCGGAGGCATAGTCTTTCCAAAACAGCTTTTCTGGCATATCTTTCTCCTTGTTCTGTGAACATTCAAGTGCCCAACAGACAGTTTGCTGCTACAAAGCCTGCCAGAAAACAACAAAAAGGCCCTTAAAGAGAAAACTCTAGAAGAGAAGAGATCCTGTTTTACTAGTTGTCCTTCTATTTTGATAATAATGGTCTTACACACTACTTGTCTTTATGAGACTGAGTTTGTTCACTCAGCATAATGCTCTCAGTCTCTTCCAAATAATATAGTATTTTAAAAAATCCTTGCTCATTAGTCTGCATAGTATTCCATTGTGCAAATGTATCACAATTTCTCAATCCACTCAGTTGTAGTTGGACATTTGGGCTGTTTACATGTATGGGGACTCAAGAGGGGAAGGAGTGGGAGTCAGGGAGGGAGGATGGGTAGGGGTGAAACCACAGGGTTGCACTGTTTGGTGGGTGGAGGGAGAGGGTGAAGGACATGGGAAGGGACCTTAAAAGACTGGGTAATGATGGGCAAGGTCCAACTGTGATTGATTTTATAAAACATAATGCATGGGAATGATTGTATGAAACACAATATGAATGAAAAATAATGTGAAACACAATATATGCAAACTTGGTGAGCAAATCAAATTTTTTTTAAAAAATAAAAATAAAAATAAGATTAAAAATAGAAAAATAATAGAGATCTTGAAGCCAGATATTCTCAGTTCAAGTCCTTCCTCAGCTATTTGTCAGCCATGTGACCTTATCTTCTTAACCTAGAAACCAGCTGCCATCAGCAGATTCCATCTTATAGTGATGCATGTAGAGCTGTTCCATAGGTTTCCGTAGTTATGAACTTTCTACATAAGAAATAGCAGGACTTTCTTCCAAGATATCCGTGGGCAGATTTGAATTACCACTTTCAGCCCATAGTCAGATACTTGATCATCTGTGTCAGTCAGGGAACTGGTTTAAAATTCATAGGATATGCAGTGGGATATAGTAATGTAGTCACACTATTTACAATCCAGATTCTTCTTCTCTTTACTAAAGAAGAATAATGAAGTAAAAGAAGCAGCTTAACATGCAAGCAAGGAATTTATTATAGAAAGAAACAAACATAAACGTTGTGCTTAGGAGATGCAAGGACAAGAGAAAGTATCTTACATCCTGCATACACCATTTTATTCAGGTACAAACCCTTCCCTCTGGTATCTCAATTAGAAAAAACCAGGAACAAGAAATTTATAGCTAGTTAAAAGATGAGGGAGGAGGGGAGAAGTGGGGCAGAAGAAGGAGGAGAGGAAAAACTAGTAGGGCAGCAGAGATTTGTGGACAGATGGGGGGGAGGTGGTGAAGGAACAGGCCAGGTGCAATGGGGACTTGCTGAGACATGCTAAAAGGCATTGATCAATAATAATAATGATATAAAACACAATGTATAAGAAAGAGTGAATAAAATGCAATGTACATTAATGAAGCACAATATTTATAAATGATTAAAAAGGAAAATAAAGTAGGCTTGACTTCTTGTTAGGTGCCCTCAAGTATAGGTTTTGCTTAAGCACAATTAAGTGTTCTGGGATTCCCATTCTTCTCAGTTAGCCACAATTTCTTGTGATCCACACAGTTAAATGCCTTGGCATAGTCAATGAAACACAGACATTCCTCTGGTAATCCCTGCTTTTAGCCAAGATCCATCTAATATTCGCTATAGTATCCCTAGTACCACAGCCTCTTCTAAACTCAGCCTGGACATCTGGCAGGCTCTGCTGATGTGTTGTTCCAGTAGTTTTGGGATCATTTTCAGCAGGATCTTTCTTGCATGTGATATTAATGATATTGTTCAATAATTTCCACACTCTGTCAGGTCACTTTTTTTTTAATAGGAATAAATATGGATCTCTTCCTGTCAGTTGGCCAAGTGGTTGTTCTCCAGATTTCTTGGCACAACTTGGTGAGCACATCCAGGGTAGCATCTGTTTATTGAAATATGTCAATTGGTATTCCATCGATTCTTGGGCTTTATTTTTTGCCAATTCCTTCAGAACAACTTGAACTTCCTCCTTCATCATCACAGGCTCTTGATCATATGTTGTTTCATGAAGTTCTTCTGTTCCAGACTATTCTTTTTGGTATAGTGACTCTGTACTCCTTCCATCTTCTTTTGATGCTTCCTGCATCATTCAGCATTCTGCCCACAGTATCCTTAAGTATTGCAACTCAAGGTTTAATTTGTTCTTGAGTTCCTTCAGCTTAAGAAATGCTGAGCGAGTTTGGCTCTTTCTATTTTCCTACTCCACATCTTTGCACATTTCACTATAATATTTTGCTTTGTCTTCCATGTTGCCCTTTGAAATCTTCTGTTCAGTTCCTTAACATCTTGATGGCTTCCATTTGCTTTGGTTTCTCGGTGCTCTAGGGCAATATTCAGAGTCTCTTCTGACATCAATCTTGGTCTTTTCTTCCTTCTCTGCCTTTGTAATGATCTTTTGCATTCTTCACGTTTGATATTCTCTCATAGCTCGTCTGGTCTTTGCTCATTACTATTCAAGTCCTCAAACTTGTTCCTGAGATGGTCTTTTAATTCAGGTGGGATAGACTGAAGGTCAAACTTTGGTTTTTGTGGATTTGATTTTCTTTAGCTTCAGTTTGAATTTGCATACAAGTAGTTGATGACCTGACCTAGTTTTCACAGCTGATATTAAGCTTCTTCAATGACTTCCCCCCCCACACATATATAATCAGTTTAATTCCTGTGTAGGACATCAGGTAAAGTCTAAATGTAAAGGCACCATTCATGTTTCTTATAAAATTTGTCATGAAAAACCAATTGATTGTACAGAATTCTACTATTGTGTCTCCAGACTCACAGCTGTCACCAAGTCTATGTTTCCTGACTACCTTGTTCACAATTTTTGCTTTCCAGTCACCCATTTTTACTAATGTGTCCTTTTTAAAAGTTTTTTATTTTATACTGGCTTACTTACAAAGTTTGTATATATTATTTTTCTTACCGGATTTTCCCCCTTTCCTTTACCCAGCCCTATCTCCACACATCAAATTGTGTGACCCTATGATTAAGACCTCTCCCCCTTGCCCATCCTCACCCCTCTGCTCCCACCTCCCCTCCTTGGGTTCTCATACTCATTCTACAATAATGGTCTTACACAGTATTTGTCTTTATGAGACTGAGTTAGTTCACTTTGAAGAATGCACTCCAGTCCCTCCCATGTTAGGTAATAATTTTCAAAATCATTGCTCCTGTATTCTGCATAGTATTCCATTGTGTGAATGTACCATAATTTCTCAATCCATTCCACTGTGGTTGGACATTTGGGCTGTTTCCATGTTCTTGCTATGGTGAATAACACTGCTATGAAAATTGGTGTACAAGTCTACTGTATCTTCATTGCATATTCAGTCAATTTCCTATTGCAAGATTCAGTAGAAATCATCTATTTCCTCCTCTTTGGTTCTGGTTGTTGGTGCATAAATTTGAATGATAGTGATACTAACAGGTTTCACTTGTATGTATATTAATATTATCCTGTCACTCACAACATGTAATTCAAAATGGCTCTAGAAATGGTCTTTTTAACTATGAATGCTACCTCATTTTTTTCTCACCTTCTTATTACCAGCATAATAGATCATATAATTGTCTGAATCAAAATGTCCCAGGACAATCAATTTCATGTCACCAATGTCTAGAATGTCAATATTTATGCACGCCATTTCTTCCTTAACAATCTCCAATTTTCCTACATTCATATTTCTCACATTCTACATTCCAATAATTAGTCTGTTTGCAACTCTCTCTCCTCCTTTGTGATTACCAACATGAAGGCTCAGCCTCCAGTGCCATACCTGTAGTCTAACCTAAGTGTGCTCTGTTGTTCATAGGGTTTTCGAAGGACTGTTATTTCGGAAATGGATGGCCAATTTGTCTCCATATTCTGTCTATAATTTGGATGCTCTGCTTTAGAACAATATTTTAAAGACAAGCATTTTACCCAAAAGAGCCCAAGAGAGTATGCAGGTAACATGAGAGAGTACGTTGGGGGAATGACCTTTTTTGTGCATGTGTTGTATTCCCTTTGTCACCCTGCCCTGCCCTGCCCTGCCAGCACTCAGCTCAATTCCCTCTCCTTACTTTTCTGACACCTCCTATCCCCTGTGGCATGATAACTTGGGCCTCCTACCCACTCTGTCCACCCTTTCCTCTTCACTATCCTGGCACAGGGTTTTGGGAGGGGGAGTGTTTACATTGCTAAAGTGGTGTTCGCATGCATTCCACAGGGAGGACACCCCAGCAACCTGATGTAATTTTAATTCTTCATAGGAATAAGAAGGAATTGATGCTTTTGAATCTTGCTGGTTGAAGAGCACTGAATATTCCGTGGACTACCAAAAGAATAAACAAATCTGTCTTGGAAGAAATGCAACAAGGGTGGTCCCTAGAAGAAAGAGTTGTCAGGTGGAACCAGTCCTTGGAAAAAGACATCATGCTGGTAAAGGTAGAGGGTCAGCAAAAGAAGAAGACACTGCGTGGGATGGATTTACACAGTGACAACAATGGGTGTGAGCATGATTGTGAGGCACTAGCAGAACAGGACAAGGCTTAGATTTGTAGTTCATAATGATAGGTAATGACAAAGGAAACACTAACAAAGTAAATAAAACAGGAACTGTTCTGGATAGTGATGTGAAATGGTGGCAAAACAACACAAGGAAAACAGACTTGTCTAAAAAAGGAGACTAGTGGAGAGCAGAGTCCTAGGACTACCACAAATCCATCAGAAGCTGTACACCACCATAAAGGTGTGTAAATTTGACCCCCCTGAAAACCATATATACACTCATATAAGGATTGAGTTAGTCTGTCCTGACCGGTTCATAGTCTGTTATGAACGTCTAATAAACCTGTTCCTTTCACTCGCTCTCACCCAGTGTCAGTGTCTTTCTTGTTGCAGTGTTCTGTTAGAGTCTTGCACGTGAGCCAGAACTTTCTAGTTTTTACTCGAAGAGGTCCTGGGATCTCTTTAGAAATCATCCCTTTGGCAATAAGATTCCTCAAAGGTGAAGTTGACTCAATGGCACCAAACAACAGCAACATACTAACACAGTAGCCCGTGTTCTACTGTGTCTGATATTGTAGGTGGAAAGCAAAAACACTCCATAACCACTGTTATCAGTTTCAAAAAGTCAAGAAAAGTAATTTTATTAGGCACACTGTAGAAAAAGAAAAAGCAAGAAAAGAAGAGGAATATGAATGGGGTCCAAGAAGTGCAGTTCCTCCTGAAATAAAATCAATGGCTACATCTTTTTGGTATTTATACAAAGTCAAATGAAAAGTTGCATAAAGTCTTGTCTTCATGCAAAATAGTGTTTACAAGTTTCTTTGATAAGAAGTAACAGCACAGTTACTAAGCTATTTTTAATCTATAGTGACAAAACAGTATTATCAATGGGAGGATGGTAATAGATAAAGGCAAAAAGACAAAAAGTGCAACTTCAGGAGGGAGGGGGATTAATTCAACAGGTGATGACAGAGAGAATTTACTTTTATTCTAGTTAGGTGTGCATCTAAAGGGGGGGCGGGGGGCTGGTGGTACAGGCTCTTTTAGTGTTCCTTTTGTTCCAGTGTGTGACAGATGCTAAAGCTCTATGTGAAAAATAAAAGAACTCTAGGAAATGTAACTCAAAGGAGACAATAGCATGAAGGTGACTGTGCCCCCTCCCCATCCACTCCATCCAGAGGAATGCATTGTCAATCTGACTTCTGATTCTTTCCATACACAGGCAAGTGGCTGTTTTCTGCCAGGCACACAAAACTAAGGTACTGGTCTCAGGCTTGTTAAGGTCATATTGTTATTGTTGTCATGTGCCTTTAAGTTGGAACCATCCTTGACCCTTTAGTGGGTTTTCAGTCACGGTTCGTCGCACAAGAGGAGACTGCCCATCCTTCTGTGGAGCAGCTGGTGTATTTGAGCCATGCACCTTTGGGATCACAGCGCAGCCTCATTTCTGCCATGCACCATGATCTAATCACCTTTTCAGCTGCATGAATAACATCAGGAGCAATGGACTGGAAATGCCCCCACATCATCCCCTGAAAAGTCCATCATATCATCTCATAGGCCTAACCTTGAGCCCAGAAACACCTCAAACTGTGGAACCAGCAACTGGAATAAGAGATGCCATGCTCAGCGGAGGGCCTTCTTACAACTCTGCTCCTGGGAGAGGCCCATCTTGCTCTTCAAGATGTAACTCTTCTAATAAATTTATCTTTTAGTTCATGTTCCTCCCAACTCCTCACATGTCCTCCTAACAAAGGCTTGACCTAGTCATGTTTATTATTTCCGAGCTAATGCCGGGAGATCTGTCACTGGCCAATCTTTCTATCTTTCTGTTGCTGTTCACCTGGCACAAATCTTATTTGCACAAGGAATCCTGGGACTTCACTACACGAAAACAAGGCTGAGTGAGGTTCATGCAAAGCTCTCAGTGTATTAAAAGGCATCAGAACTAGACAGTGATATAGAAAAGCAGAGCTTATGTGAAAACGAAAGCCCACAGGTCCTCTTGACATTCTGATATTTGCTTCAAAGCCATAAACTGTTAACTTCTAGTATTCTAGACCTTTGCATGTGATAAGATTCCTGGTTTCTGACAGCACCGACAACAATAATGGAATCCAGGGCCCAGGACAGACCAATTCAAGCCCTGTAGGCTTCCGTAGCTCTACTGGAAACCAAGTTATAACCCTTGTCCAAAATTACATGCAGAGCCAAAATTAAAATTCAGACAGGATATGTTGGGGCATGCACCTAATTACCCTATGGGCCAATTCTAAACCCCTTCTTCCTTCAGTAAATAAACACCATGAACTTCTGCTAATTTACTAGTTCCTGAAATCCCACCTCCTCTCTGAGGTTTTTTTCTTTTTTAATCTGATCTCTCCTTTATTTTAAAATTGTTTTCCCAATGTATCCTTTTGAACCGCCCCCCCCATGTTTTCCCCTTTGCAAAGGCAATCTCTCTAATAAATTCATGCTTTTGTGAAAAGGTCTAGTCTTTCATTTTGTTTATTTGTAGTAGAAGAAACTAAAAAAACCCCTCAAACTCAGTAGGAACTGAGTAGAAATCAATTCAGCTGACCCTCTAGTCAGTTTTTGGAGGTTATAAATGATATGAGAGGAACTGCTTTTCTTTCTCCTGCAGAGCCCCCAGTGAGTTTGAACCACTGAGGGGCATCACCTTTGGGTTAACAGTGCAACTCCTTATGGATGAGGCCACCAGAAATTCCACAGGGGTGGGGAGAGTGTGAAGGGGAGAAGAGAAAGAATCTACAGTCTGGAAAGCAGTTGTCCTGTAGTAGCAGCAGGACCCGGACTTCTTGGTGAGACACAAGTACCAACCCGACTTGTTCTTCTGTCTATTCTGACTCATGGTGAGTCATCTGCATGATGTGCTGGAGGTTGTCAATGCTGATTTCTCTAAAGTAAATTGCCAGGAGTTTCTCCTTTGGCACCTGTGAGTGGACTTGGATTTCTGACCTTTCCATTAACATCAAAGCACAGTAACCCTTTTCTTTGGCCAGGAACTCCATGGGCTCAAGTAGCCTGCAGTGCTACACCCACCCCTTCACTCCTTTATGTTACCCACCTGACATTTGTGTGTGACAACTGGAAAAGATTCTCATTTTGGGGGGAAAATGTGCAAGTGAAATATTTCAAATGTGAACTCTGTTAGGAAAAGGAAAAGTCATTTAAGGTTTTGCCCAAACCTCTCATTAATCATGCCAAAAGGATCCTCCTTGGCTTTAACTTTACTTTCAACTTTAACTTTTTAAATATTTTTTAATGTATTTAAGAACTGCTTTGGAATAATAAGTGTGGAAAACATTTTGCATCTCTCACACAATCAGCTGTAAGGCACTTACCATATACACGATGACAGACAGTTCATACACAATAGACTGTGCTCCCAGCTCTACCATGCCGAGGATACCTGATAAGAGATAAGTAACTCCTTGCTCCTGGATCAGCCAAAAAGCCAAGCCCACTGCTGCTTAGCTGTGGGCACCCCATTTTGGAGGAGAACTGCTCTCCTAGAGCTCTCAATGGCTATGGTCAGCAGCAGGCCAACAGGCTTTTCTGCTAAGGCACCATGGTGTGGGTTCAAACCACCAGTTACACACACTAACCAAGTGCACTGTTGAGGGACCTCTGCCCTTGGACTCAAACCCCACTACTCTTGAGTTGATTCTGACTCATAGTAAGCATGTAGGATGGTGTAGAAATACGTAAGTGGGCTTATAAGGCTGTAAATCTTTATAGAAGCATACAACCAAATCTTTCTCCCACTAAGCAGCTGGTGGATTAGAACGATCAACTTTTCAGTTTGTAGATAAGCACTTTAACAAGTGCACCACCATGGTTTTTAACTCTTAAACAAGACCATATTTATTGTCTGTTCTCTCACTGACCGCTGAGGAAGCTCCCGATCTGATAGGCCCACCATTCGATGCACAGCATAAGCATGCTGGGGATGGCCAGGTGGAAGAAGGAAGCCCAGTCCTGTAGGCATTCAAAGGACCACCCTGTAGTCAGAATAGAGACAGCCTATTTATCAACATGCCTAGATATCTGGCTGGAACAAGACAAGTGTCAAAGTGGGAAGGCAAAAGGCATTCCTTACCTCCCCATGTAGCTTGATGTAATTTTCTCCAAAGGATGCAGGAAAAGAGGAGGCGAGCCAGGGTAAATTGGGAAATAGCATTTGCCAGTGCAGAACCCCTGAAAGTTACAAACATCGTGAGAGAGACATCTGTCCTCCTTTCTTCCCTGCCTCAGCAATGATGAGAGGAGCAATGCAGCCCTTGATAAGAAGGAGCCAGCATTTTTTTCTTCCCAGAGGAGCATCAGTCTGAAAGTATATCTCCAGAGTGGGATAAGAAGAAGATCACATGTATACACAATATTAAACCAATCAAAGGCCCCATGATCTTCCCTCTTCTCCCCAAACAACTGCATATAAAACACTCTCTGCATGGAGAATCAAATGGACTCACATCACTCCAAGGCCCAGCTGATGGAGAAACAGATAGTTGGTGAGGACATTGACAAGGTTGGCTGTGACTCCAGTTATGATTTGAGGCAGTATGATTCCCTGGAACATGGTGGAAAGAACACACACCATCTTTAGAATCACCAAACAGCTGTTTTCTTCTCTCTTCACACAGTTCAGGCTCTAGCTGCCTTAGTAGGAAGCCTAAGAAAACACCTATGATACCATTAGTCAAGAAGAGAAATATTGCGTTGGGAAAAATTTGCTGTCAGTGACTTCTCCAGAATACTGAAGAGTAATGATCGTTAGTTTGAAGATTAAGATGTGCCTGATGCAAGCCATTGTTTTCTCAACTGTTCACTATGCATCTGAAAATTGGGCAATGACAGAAGAATTAATGGCTTTGAATTCTGGTGTTGGGGGAAAGTAGTGAATATTTGGTGGACCACCAAAAGAATGAAAAGGTCTGTCTTAGAAAAAGTGAAACCAAGATGTGCCTGGGAGGCAAGGACAGTGAAACTCCATCTCACATATTTTGGGTATATTATTAGAAAGGGATAGACCTTGGAAAAAGACATCATGCTTGGAAAGGCATAAGGTCAACATAAGAGTGGAAGACTCACAGGAAGGAATGATATGATGACTATAACAATGGGCTTAAGTGTGTCAGAGATGGTGAGAATGGCACAGAATAGGACAAGATTCAGATTTTCTATTCACAGGGTCACTATGAGTTGACATGGTGGTTCGGAACAAGAACTATTTCCTTACTCTCTGAAAAACTGTTCTCTATAATCTAGACTATAAATATCTAATGCAGAAAAGCAGGCTCAATTTCCAACCCAAGTACAGTGTTCTAGACCATAATCTACAAATCTCTACATTACTCAACCATCTTAACCTTAAAGACTTCAAGGAAATAGGGCCAAGCCCAATTAAATTTAAATCTGATGCTGGCATTTCATTGTTGGCCTGTTTTGCTTTGAGCCCTTCAAATATGGCATTGTTAAAATTTCTTCTGCACTCCATCTTTATTCAGTACATTTTATTAACAATCTTTGTTCCGTTACTGATATACTCAGAAATGTCCCATGATTTTTCTCACGTAATGTATCACTCAATGTGATAAGTCAATAAATCTGGCTTCTTTCTGGACACTCTCTCACTCATTCATTGCAGTAGAATCAGAAATGACCCATAGCTGAACCTCCAGTGTGTTTTCAGAGGCAGTAGATCACAAAGGAGAAGATAGTCTACCTCTCTCCCATGGAGCTGGTGATAGATTCAAGTTGGAAGAGAGGTGTAGCCTTTGGTAGCACAGTAATAGCATGACTAAGAGTCAATATTTTTTCCTGGCAGTCTATGGGACCTCTGGTGGACTAGTGGCAAGAAAATGTGCTGAAATCCTGAAGGCATGCAGTTCAAATCCACCACTTGCTCCATGGAAGAAAAATGGGCAATCTCCTCCTGTGTGATTAACTGCCTCTGATAATCTGCCAGAGGGTCAGCTATGGATCGGTTCCAATTCTACAGTAAACAACAACAGTCTGTGGGACTAGGACCAAGTTCTCAGCTGACCACAATGTGGGCCACTTATTGATCTGGAGATATTGATGCATTTTAACAAGAGAGTTACATGATCAGCTTTAAATTTCAGGACAGTATTACAAAACACACACATGTACACTATTGTAGTGTTGAATTGCCTTGGGAAAAAGAACTGACAGCAGGGAAATAAATAAAAAATCAACTGAAGGAAAAGTAGTGCTGTCAACTGTTGTAGAGATAGTACTGCTTTACAGGGACCCAAGAACAACAGAATGAGACTTCTGAAACCTGCAGGCTTTTAGGGAATGTTGACACCATGGGGAACAATTGAAGAAGAAATCCGCTCAGAGCAGAGCAGAAGCTCTTGTTCCAGGCTGGATTGTGTGCACCCCTCCTCCCACCCTGCCACCTTGCCAATATGTACTGTAATCCTAATTCCTATGCTGTGGATGTAATTTCATAGGGCTTTCTCTGTTATGTTAATGAGGTTATACCAATACAGGCATGTTAGAAATCTAATCACTTGAGTTTGAAAACAGAACAGATTAGATACAGGAGTCTGGGAAAAAAGATGATAGCAACAGTTCTCCAAGAAAATGAGGCCTGCCAGGGCACAGAAGTTGAGAACAGGACCTTCCTTCCCCCTGAGCTGTAAGGAAGGCTTCCCTAGAACTGGTTCCCTGAACTGGGTCCACAGGCCTCTGAAACAGGGACCAGAAATTTCTATAATCTAAGAACACGCTGGTAAGCAAGGAGTTGAGCTGCCAACTCAATAGCAGGCACTTTGAATCCATCAGTGGTATCAAAGAAGAAAGAGGGACAATTTCCTCCCCCGTGACTTACAGCCTCAGAATACCTGCTTGAAGGCTCAGTTAGGAGTCAGTTCCAACTTGCTAATAATGAAGTATTTTTGAAAGTCACTCATTTGTTGTGTATCTGTTAAAGCAGCACTCAGAAATGAAGACAACTCCCCACCCTAAAAGTTCAAGTATTATGGAATATTAGAAATATAATAGCTCCAGCTACTGTGCTGCTCTTTCCACCCTGTATCCTCTCCAAGGGTGTATGACTATTCCCAGTCACAAATACTCCCTTCATCCCAAGAAAGCCAGTTTCTAGATGTTGGCTTTATTCTGCATGCAGCAGCTTGGCCATTTCAGATAAATGACTGCAACTATGACTCTTTGCAAGAAACAGGCTGCTGTCTTTCCTCTCAACAAATCATCTTCCTAAGTTGGGCCTCCAAGGTGGAAACTTTGTATGCTACTTACACCACTCTCCACAGCCAACCATCTACTTAAGTCTACAGAATTCACTCTGCTACATTTCCTTTTGCTTTTATTCTTAGTTCATTGTAGACCTTCATCTCTGGTCTGAACCAGAAACCCTGGCAACGCTAAGCACTCAGCTGTTAAGGAAAAGGTTGGTTGTTTAAATGCACACAGTAGCTTTGCAGGAGAAAGACTCCTTTTCTCCCATAAAGAAGCCAACTTTTGTGTTGGCAGTGCAACTTTTTACCACTAGACCACCAGGGCTATCCAAGAAGTTGCACTGTGAACTGAAAGGAGGATGGTTCAAATCCACCAGCTGCTCCCTGGGGAAAAAGATAGACAATCTCCTCCTGCGTGATTTACTGCCTCTGAAAGCCTGCAGAAGGGTCAGCTAGGGGTCATTTCTGACTCAATGGTACACAACAACCACCTCTGGGTTGGCAGTGCAACCCATTAGGCCACTAGAACTTTCTAATGTTGATTACAACTCAGAAAATCATGTGGAGCAGGAAACTACATGTGTCTGCTGTGACACATGAGGGTGCAATGAGACAAAAGTCGATGCAATGGCACACAACCCATCCATTACTCTCATTTCTCCCCGTGTATGTTAATTTGCTTTCTACAAAGTAAAATCCTCAGTAAGTCCCCTTCAAGCTGACCCTGTGCAAGTGTGTCTCCCTCTCTTACTGCTGCTGAGTTGGAATCAATACCTAGCCGATCTCCAATGAATTTCCAAGACTGAGAAGAGATTGCTCTTCTTCCTTCCATGGAGTGGCTAGTGGATTTGAACACCAGAGAAATGTGGCCTCTGCGTTAACAGCACAGCAGTCTCTAGACTACACCACCAGAACTCCCCTAGTCTAGCCTACCTCATAAATTCTATCATCCCCTGTGTTCCTTCTTTAGTATCACCCAATTCATATGCCACATTATCCTAAACACCCCCCATATTTTGCATATTCATGAATGACATCTTCTCTCTGCGGTACTTTTTGCTATCTTTTCTGCCTCAAAAAACCCTACCCGTCCCCCACAATCCACTTCATAACCCTCTCAGCTCATGACTCCCAAAAGTTCTTTCTCTCTGCTTCAGAACATTAGAGAAAAGGGATTTCACATCCAAATTCTTAATTAAGTCATGTCAGAACCACAAAATGGGATCACATTTGGCCAGAGACTGACAAAAGAAAGAAGGTATTGGAGTGGATGAATTCCTATGGTGCTGTAAATGAAGTTATATATTGAAAGATCATAACCCAGAACTCAAAAATATCTATTTCCTTCTTGCTCTAGTAGTGTGGCCCACAGAAAATTGCAGTGTTAACCCAAAGGCAGTTCCTCTCTAGCAGTTCAAATTCACCAACGGTCATACTACAGAAAATGGACAATCTCCTCCCTCATCATTTTGAACCTCTGAAAGCCCACCGAAGGATCATTATAAGTCAGTTCAACTCAATGGTTATGAGTGGATGACGGAGACTGTAGATCCTTCACAGTTTAATCTTAATACTAAAAAGATTCAGAATGTTCTTGTTTTGTTAATAGAACATATCTTCATTTTTAGACATAAAATAGACAAAAACCCTCCTACTTTCTTTCTCCCCTCTTTTCCTGTTACATAAAGTTAGGAAGCCCTTACTGTCTGACCATGATCTACAGCCAGTACCTCCAATGACCTGAATTTTTCTGGAGCAAAGTCAGTAGTTCTATATATGCTTTCAACCTAAATGCACACTTGTGAGTCAGGGCAACCATCCCAGGACCTCTGGACAGTGCTGTTAGTAACATATTCAGAGTTCTGACAGAACTGACATGTCCTTCAATTTGTACTGACATGTCTCCAGTGAGAGATAGAGAACCTTTGGGAAAGGGTTTAATGGAGACTGGCTCCCCAGAGTCTGAGAGATAGCCCTGAACCTACATTCTTTCTCTCTTAAGGAGCAGACGGGCAAATATTCAACTCCAGAGAGCTGGGCCAGAATGTTGAGCCAAAGAAAACTACAGCTCTCATTTTAACCTGCCAGTGACAATATTTCCAATGGGAATTAGATAGGTAATTTCCAGAGCTATAAATAATGAATCTTTGCCTGAAATCACTTAACTAACCTTTCAACACCCAAATCCCGCACACAAAACATGAAAACATGTACTCATCCCAGGAGCTCCTAGGCAGCAGGCTTTCAATTTCCTTCCTTGTCTCTTTGAATTTCCTTGCCTTCAGGGCTTCCAAACTCAGAAAGATACAGATTCCCACTGGTTTCCCAGGAAAAAAAAAGGACCAAAATAATTACCTGATTGAGCAAATATTTAACTTGTAATGTATAAAGAAAGGTTGCCTATAAGAGAACAAGAAAGATGAATGTTAACATCTTGGCTTTGCCACATAGCAAAGACTAAGTCATGCTGAAAGGCACAGCCAGTCTGCATCAAAACCAAGGGCCAGAGCCACCAAGGCAGCCATCCAAGGATGGGGAGCTATGGCCCTGGAGTTCATAAATATCTTTTATGATGTGAATATTATATAAGAAAAGCACAGGGACTGGTAAAAGGAAATACAATTTGCTTTGAGTGCCCAGTCAAAAGACTTTTGCTGGCAGTGAAGTACAATATAGGTCCCTCGAAAAACTCTAGTTGGATGCTTTGGATGTAGGTTACTCCATAGTCCTATTTATTGAGATTTTTTAAAGATCACCAAATTAAAAGAGTTTCTGAATAAATAAAACAGTACTAATTCAGAGGGCAGATCACTAAACAGTCCAACTGAATATAACTTGGGTCTGATCTTACATTATTATGCTACTTACTGTATAAGATAATAACACACAGTAAATAAAACTACAAAGGATGCCCTTAGAGCCCTGAGAGTTGGAATGTTCCCCTAAAAAACATTTCCTATAAAAAGTAATAAAATAAGCCTGAACTCGCCTCCATGAATGAGGCCAGGGCTTTCTCTACTTTTAGCGTACAAAACAGGGTCCTTCTGAGACCTATGGGGCCTAGTATTTTCTAAGTGGACAAATGTTTCCATCTTAGTGGGCAAAACTGAAACCACAATTCATCAAAGGAACCCCAGAATATGTGAGAACCAGTCAAGACTGAGTTATAGTATATCTCAGCTAATTTTTACCAATGGTCCCTAGAAAGACACTTCGCAGGCCTTGAAAACTTACAGGAAGAGCTGACATGAAGATCATGACATAGGTTTGGGTAAGCCTATACAACAAAAGAGAAAAAAAAATAAAGTGATGAGGCAAACTATACAGTCTTTTGCATTCTTGACTTTTTCTAAACAGAGAGACTTAAACCACTAGAGCAAAAGGTTCCTCTAGATGAACTAAAATTTCTAATTTCTGATTAACATCCAAGTAGTCCACTTGGTAAAACATATCAAATGTCTTAAGGTAGTCAACCTTGCCATCATGGCTGAATAATTCTGTATTGTGAGGAGCTGTCCTGTGCATTGATGCACCTTCCGAACAGTTGTGATTTCAGATGTTGCTGACTTTCCCTTGTAGTCAGAGACATTGGTTCGGAGCCACTGGTCTTAATTCAGTGGTTCTCAAATGTAACTTTTATTTGCATTATCTGGGACTTTGAAAGACAATGACGCCTAGGCCTCACAGCAAACCAATTGTATCCAAAATAATTTTCATATAAACCACGTCAAGCATCATTACACTATGGGGGGGAAAATCCAACCTCTGCAAACTACCATTACCTCAGAAAGAATAATTCTGTATCTTAAGGTGCCAGGTATGAAAAGCACAAAGGTCAGGCTAAAAGTTAGCTGAGGAAAAGTTAACCTTGCCATCAGATACAGTCTTGTCCCTGGCCTTTGTCATTCCCAGAAACAGAATTTGGCTGGAGCTTGCTGCTGGGATATGAATTCCCTGTCATTATGGTGTCCCTCTTACCTGGACACAACAGGATCCTGACGAAAGAGCAGGAGCATCAGCTCAGTGTTGAGGAAAAGTGCCCAGCAGGGGAAGCAGGAGAGCAGCAGGATGAGCATGCCTCTCTGTAGGATGACACCCACGTACTTCAGGTTACGGCTCCCGTAAGTCTATGTGCACACAGGAAAAATAAATCCATTAGCCCTAACTTGACACCTCCATTGCTCCTCAAAAGCCTTCACTTTCAGCCTACAGATGTGGTTCTGAAAACTTGATCATGTTCTTTAAGTAGGAGGGCACTAATGATAGGAATTGTTGTTATATCCTGACAAGTTTGAATTGACTCTCCAATAGGTTTTCAGAGGTTAAACATCTTTTTCCTTCTATGGAGCATCTGTGGATTTGAACTGCCTGCCTTTGATTCTAGATCTTTAGTCATGCTCTGTAAGTAGGAGGCCACTGATGATAGGAAAGATCAGTGATTCTCAAGAATGCTACCCATTCTCTCAGGGAGGAGTGATAGGGAATGGCAAAGGACACACTGACAAAGAAGATTAATCAGAACTGGCTTTGACAAGCACTGTGGCATTTGGACAAGAACAAACTGGGAGGAGGGTAGAGAGAATAGTGCAACAATGAATGAATGGAAACCCAAAATCTCTGTAAATGTTTATGAAAATTAATAAAATATAGAAAAAAAAAAGAATGCTACCCATTAGAAACACCTGGGAAACTGTTAAAAAAATGTTAGGGTCTACTCCAGGTATTTTTAACTGGTCCAAGTGTAGAGTTGGGTATCAATGAGAGTTTTTAAACTCTCCATTTGATCTTGATGTGCATTATGGCTGCATCATCTAGAAAGCTGTTACATTGCAAATTCTTGGGCTCAATACCAGGCCTGTGAGAGAGAAACTCTGGGAGGAGGGTGAGAGGTGTGCTAGAGTCACCACAGCTTGTGTGTATCTCCTCCCTGCTCTTTGTGCAGTGGCATTTCAGTGGTAGCTTGAACAGCCAGAGGGAGTACTTTCACTTTGATAATGGGTAAACACTACAAACCAAAATATTCCCACTATCCCAAAGCCACTGTTAAACTTTTACCAGGGCGGTACTGTTTCAGCATGCCCTCCAGGTAACTTTGATGCACACTTAAATTTGAAAGGCACTGTACTATACTAAAAGAAGACCTGGGGACACAGTGATTAAAGCCACCAGCCACTCTGTGAAAGACAAATGTTCCTGTAAATATTTGCTCAGAATACCAGGAGAAGACTCAAGCATAATTGTTTTTACTTTTTAAAGCTGTTTTTCAGATTATTATAATGGGTATAATGAGATCAGGAGATGTATTGCATTAGGCAAGTCCACTGTCTGGAACTTCTCCAAGATACTGAGGAGTAATGATGTCAGTTTGAAGACTAAGGTGCACCTGATTCAGGACATTTAGTAATTTTCAAATACTTGCTATATCTCAGAGAGCTGGATAATGAATAAAGATGATAGGAGAAGAACTTATGCCTTTGAATTGTGGTGTTGGAAAAGAGTACTGAATATCTTACTGATTGCCAAAAGAACAAACAGATATGTCTTGGGAAAAGTAAAACCAGAGTGCTCCTTAGAGACATAGATTATAAAACTTCATCTCACTTACTATGGACATGTTGTTAGAGAAAGTTATTGCTTAAAAAGGGACAGCATACTTGGAAAGATGGAGGGTCAGCTAAAGAAAGGAAGACTCCAATGAGATAGATTGAAACAGTGACTGAAGCAATGGGCTCAAGTATGTCAGAGATTGTGAGGATGACCCATGATAGGACAGAGATCACATCTGTTGTTCATAGGGTCAGTAAGGATCATACTCAACTAGATGGCACCTAACAACAGTAATAACAATCTTTCTTATCATCCGTGCCCTCCTATCCAAAGAACATGACCAAGTTTCATTTTTTACTGAAGCAGCCTGAGCAGTCAGTGACCCATGTTGTAGTGAGTGCTAGAATAAGGAATTTTGCTGAACGTCCTTTACATTGTAAAAATATAGTATAATTCTGTCATCTAAACACTGGCTCATAAATCTGACAGAAATCCAATTACATTTTTAAAAAGCAGACAAGTAGAACAGATGCCTTAGCTGTGGGTGCTTACTGACTGTACACAAGGTTCGCCTTCTTGGTGGTGAGGTGCTTCATCTATGCTCAAAAAAAGAGGTCTAGGATCATGTGGCCACTTCCGATTACCTGGGAGATGAGGGTGTCACAAGCAGAAGATAATCCAAATCCCACTGAAATGCCAGTCACGTTGATAACCTGGGAAAAAACCCAAGGAGATAAGACCATACAGAACTGCATGGATTTAAGCCTGCAAAGGTTGGTTGTCCAAAGCCAAGTACATTTAGCCCATTTTTTTAACTGCCTGGGGTCTCTCAACAAATCAGATGGACCACTAGGAGGAAATGCTTACAATTAAACCAGTTGCCATCAAGTCCAGTCCAATTCAAAATGGAATCCTTCTATCCACATGATTTTCTTTTTTTGTTAAGAGAAATCTATCCAAAGATCATTTTTCTGTTGGTTTTCCTTTGATATTCCATTGTTTTTATCATACATATATGTCTGTACATGCTGTTTAATTGCTGTCCAGTTGATTCCAGCTCATAGTGACCATGTAAAGGCAGAGTAGACCTGCTCCACAGGATTTTCAAAGCTGAATCCTTTCAGAAGCACACCTCCATATCTGCCTCCCAGGCTCCTCTGGGCAGTCGCTAACCATCAACCTTCCAGCCTATAATTTAAAGTGTAATCGGCACCATTCAGGGACTCTGTTCACAGGTTTCCAAGGACTCATTTTTTCAAAGGCATCATCAAGTCCTTTTTCTGAGGCACCTTGGGGCAGACTCAAACTTCCAACTTTTTGGTTAGCAGCTGAGTAAGATAAGTGTTTGCCCAAGGAGGGACTCCATGCATAAGTTTCAGGACAGGAAAAAAAATCTAGGCAAGAGGTTATTACACAGACTTTCTCTTTAAAGTATTAGTCAACTTATTTTTCAATTTCAGGGCATATTAATCCTTCTTATGGGGAATTGAAAAACCAGACACAAATGTGGCACAGTAGCAGGTTTGGATAAATCTTGTTTCAGAACTTGTTTCATGTCAAAGGATATTGGGAGTACAGAAGTAAATCTCTAAAGTCAAGACCAACAACAAAGGCCATCACCAGTATCCTTAACAAAACCTAAGGTTTCCTGGAGTTTATGGGAGCCACAAACCAAAGAGTGACATATTACGATGTCTGATGCTGTCCCTGTCTGGAATGGTTTTGTCTACCTGAGTCTCTGGGGAGATGTCTATCTCAACCTAGGCTCCTACAGAGAATCACCAGTGTTGAGAAGTTCTTGATTATCCATTGAAAATCCCTGGTCAAGCAGAATCTGCTTGAGTCCTAGTAAGTGAACATCTGTTTTCCGCATAGTTTCTGAGCATTAGAAAAAAATACCACTAAATCTGAAATTATCCACGCTGCTCACTGAAAACAAATAATGCAATCTGTATACATTTTGTACAGAGACTTTTTGTCACTAAGAGGCCACAAACTCAAATGTCTGAAGAGGTCATATGAACCTCTCCAGGTTGAAGACATGCAGGGTGGGAGAAGAAGTAAGTGCAGAAAGTTGGAAGCTAGCACACTCTGACCAGAGGCCCTAACTTTCAAATTTCATTGCCCAGTTCCATTTCTAGATCATCAAGGGCTTTCAGCAAGTCAGACAATTAGTAGAAACAAGAAATGCAGGAGGATTTTAGTTTCTTCCAATGAAGTCAGAACTCCGCTTCCTTCTGACTATTCCCTTCTACTGTCTGAAATTCAGAGTAAATAGCTCTAAGAAAGGACTGAGACATCCCTGGGGTTACAGGTCCTTCCATCAATCCTTGCCTCTGTGCTTCAGGACCATCATAGGGGCAAAACAGGGCAAGAGACTTTAGTATATAGAACTTCAAGCACAAGAAAGAATTTTCCTAGCTCTCTACAACAGAGGCCTGTCCTGCGAGCCTCTGCATACTGGTGACCCAAGCAAGCAATCCTCATCTCCCATCACACCAGAGACAAAGGAGGACACTAAACTACAGAAGAATAAGAGAGGGAAGGAGATACTCTGTGGTGACAGTGAGCACTTTGCATTGCTTGTGGAAAGACAGGACTGAAGCAGCCTGGGGGTGATAGGTCCTCCATTTGGGGGTCCTTGCCTCTGCAGCTGTGGGGTCATCCCAGGGGCCAATCAGGACAAGATATTTTAGTATACAGAACTTAAAGCAGAGGGGGAAAGTTTTGTAGCTCTGAGAGACAGAAAGTGAGAGGGCTGACTTGAGACCCCAACACACAAGTTGCTTGAGCTGGCAGCCCTGATCTCTTATCTCATGCCACTCCAGAGACAAAGGAAGATATTAAGCTCCAAGAGAAAGGGTATATGAGTAACTGCTTAAGTACAACACCTGGTCTCACACTATTCAGCCACTTCAAATATGAAGAAGTACTGTAGAGTTGGTGTTGGGGGACTACTTCAAGGCAAGATTCCTAAAGGGCTGAAGTGCAGAACAGAGAGAACCTCAAGTACTTTATGAAAGGCAAATTTTCCCTGAAAGGACTTACAGTGGAGTGAGTAGCCCATCACATTTTAACATGGTAACTAATTAATAACATTATTAAAGGAAGAACCAATTACTTTCGCAGACACAATACAAATGACCTAACACTTATCAATAAAAACTTCACATAATATCAAGAAAGTGTTGAGGACTCTCCTTCATAGGGTCACTATGAGTCACCTGCGACTCGACGACACTGAACAACAACAACAATATCAAGAAAGCAATATCAGACACTGTGAAAAAACATATTAAGTCTTCTCCAAAAAAAGCAGAAAATATCAGAGACCTCCCAAATATCCCAGAGTCAAGAAGGCAGAAGATATATATTGATATGGACACTTTCAAACAGCAATGAATGAAAGTACAAATGATAGGGGAGCTCTGGTGGCCTAGTGGCAAGGAGCTGCAACTACAATCCCAGAGTCGAACGGTTCGAATCCACCAGATGCTCTGCCGGGTAAGGAGGGACAATCTCCTCCTGTACCAGTCAGATCTGATTTGATGGTACACGCACACAAAAATAATAAAATAAAATAAAATAAAAAAAGAAAGTACAAATGATAGAAGAAACAATGGAAGCCACAAATAAATAGAATAGCCTAGAGATAGAGAAACAGAAAAAAAATATATTGATGAAGAGTTATTTGAACAGCTAAAGAAAGTGCAAATGATGGAGGAAACAATGGAAATCAACAAGAAAACAAACGCTCCAGAGACACAGAGCCAGAAGAAATATATTGGTGAGGAGGACCTTGCACAAATACAGAAGAAAATGCAAAAAATGGGAGAAAGAATTGAAACTATAGATAAAGAGCTACAAGAACTTAAAAATCATCACAAGACAGAGAGGATACTGTCAACACAGTACTAGAAATAACAGAAAGGCATGAAAATGCAATCCAGAATATTAAGACTGAAATAGCAGACATATCCAACACACTTGAAGGACAAAAGAGTAGAACGGAAGAGATGGGGCAGAGAGTCAGTGAGCTTGAAGACAAGAACCTTTATGGAAACATACTAGAAGAAAAATCAGAGATGAGACATAAAGAAAATATTACAATTATGTGGAATGACATCAAAAGGAATAATATATGCATGACTGAAATTCCAGAATATGAGAGAGATAGGGATATATCACTAAGAAAAATGTGGAAGAGGTACTAGAAGAAAACTTCCCAGGTATTATGAAGAACAGGGAAATTCACATTCAAGAAGCTCAGTGAACACCAAATAGACTAGGCCCAAAAAGGAAAACATCAAGACGTAGTCAAATTCTCCAAAATAAAAGATAAGTATAGAATACTGAAAGCAGCACGAGAGAAACCTACAAAGAAAAAGCAATTAGTTTAAGTTCTGATTTTTTTTTCAGCAGAAACCATGCAAGCAAGAAGATAGTGGGGGGGAAGTGGTATGCATATACAGAATGTAAAAACAAAATAAATAAAAAATTGCCAACTGAGGGTCCTGTACCCAACAAAGCTCTCCATCAAATATGAAGGAGCAATCATATCTTTTCCAGAAAAGAAAAAACTTAAGGATTTTGTGTAAACAAGACCAAACCCACAAGAACTTTTAAGGGAAGTCTTTCATACAGAGACATCAAAGGAAAGTGGATGGACCATAATAACAAGAAACAAATACAAAACAAAACAAAACACATAGCAAAATGGCAATGATAAAACTTTTTCTGTCAATAATCACATTTAATGTGAATGGACTTAATGTACGAATCAAGGGGGAAAGAGTAGTAGAATGTATAAAGAAGCAAAGCCCATCAATATGTTGTCTACAAGAAACACATCTATTAAATGAAGAGAAAGATAGACTCAAAATCAAAGGCAGGAAAAAAAAAATATACCAAGCAAATGGCATCCACAAAAAAGCAGCAGTGGTAATACTTATCTCTGATAAAATACACTTCAGAATGAAAGTCACCATAAAAGATAAGGAAGAGCAATATATAATGATTTAAGGCACAGTAGATCAAGAAAACATAACATTGGCCAATACTTATGCACCAAATGATAGTGCTAAATGCTATAATACTATATTATAAACTATACTGTTTACTAATGCTATATATATATAAAATAACTATTAACAGAACTGAAGAAAGAAATAGACAGTGCCGCAATAATGGTAGGTGACTTTAACATGCCACTTTGGTCAAAGGATAGGTCAATTAAAAAAAAAAAAACAAACAACAAAACCCCAAGATGCAAAAGATGTAAACTATACAGTCAGCCAACTCAAATTTGTGGATGTATACCGAGCACTTCACTCTCATTTCAAATTCATATGGTACATTCTCCAGAATTGATCTCGTATTATTAGGGCAAAAAGCAAGCCTCAACAAATTAAAAAACATTGAAATAATACACAGTATTTTCTTAGACCACAATGCCATAAAACTAGAAATTAACTCCACGAGGATAAAGCTTGTAAAGTCACCAATGTAGAAGCTAAATAACATGTTGCTAGAACATGACTGAGTTAAGGAAGATATAAAGATTTAAATTAAAAAGTTCCTCAAAACAAATGATAATGAAAATCTAACATATCAAAAACTCTGGATTGCAGCTAACACAGTCCTCAGGGGTCAGTTTATAGGAATAGGCAAACACACAAAAAATGAAGAAAGAAGCAAAATTAATGCTCTACCT